CCCCGGTAAGGAGGGCGGGGGGCAGGCGGCTGCCCGGGGCGATCCGCGGCGGGCAGGAAGGAGAACGGGGCGGGGGAGAGGCGGCAGCGCGGCTCCGGGCCCGGCAAGGACTCCCCAAGGGCATCCGCGGTCCCCGGGGAAGGAGACCCGTCGCCGCCATGGCTTCCTCCTCCAAACCCCTGTCCCGGTTTTGGGAGTGGGGCAGGAATATCGTTTGTGTGGGGCGCAACTACGCTGAGCACGCCAAGGAGATGGGGAGCGCGCTGCCCCAGGAGCCCCTCTTCTTCCTCAAGCCTTCCTCGGCCTACGTGCGCGAAGGCTCGCCCATCCTCCGGCCCTACTACTGCAACAACCTGCACCACGAAGTGGAGCTGGGGGTGGTGATGGGGAGCAGAGCCCAGGCCGTGTCCCAGGAAGCAGCCATGGAGCACGTGGCAGGTTATGCCCTGTGCTTGGACATGACAGCACGGGACACGCAGGAGCAGTGCAAAAAGAAGGGTCTGCCCTGGACCTTGGCCAAGGGCTTCGGTTCGTCGTGCCCAGTCAGTGACTTTGTGCCCAAGGAGAAGATCCCAGACCCTCACAAGCTGAAGATCTGGCTCAAGGTGAACGGTGAGCTGAGGCAGGAGGGGGAGACCTCCTCGATGATCTTCTCAATCCCTTACCTGATCAGCTACATCAGTGAGATCTTCCCACTGGAAGAAGGGGACTTGATCTTGACGGGGTCTCCCAAAGGAGTTGGGTCTGTGCAGGCCGATGATGAGATAGAGGCCGGGATAAGAGATGTCCTCTCCATGCGGTTTAAGGTGGCGCAGCAGATGCGTGGATCCTAACTGGGATCCAGTCTGGGACTCTTGTCTGTGTAGGAGGAGGCGCTTTTGGGAACATCTGTGAAGGAAGAGGCACACAAGCTGTCCTGTACATTAAACACACCCAAGCGTTGAATGGACTGTCAAAGACACATAACCCATGAGCTTGAAAGGCATTTGACTAAAACAGCCCCGTTTCCATGGAGGCTGAAGCCTCCGCTGAGGCTGTGAACCTGGAGACAACCCAGCTCAGGGCAGACGGTTAACACCAAAACAGTACCTTGGAAGTGTTGATGGAGACAGCGTGGCGGGGAGCTGGGCTGACTGTCACTGTGCGTGCTCCTCTATTCTGCTGATGCTTTGAACTTTGCCAGTGTATTGCCTTAAAATAAAAATTAGAAAATAAACAGTGATTGTAGGAGCTAAAGCTCACCCATGCTATGTAAAATCAAAGATGTATGTGTAACAGTAAATCAAGAATTACAGCTTCAGAAAAAAATTTCTCTCCTTGGGGTATTCTACAATAAAAAGATGTTTGCTTTTTAGATTAGTTTCACGATTCCTCCGTGCATTTTTCAAATGTACAAATTAAATGAGGATTGGTTTCCCTCCCTTTCCAAGGGGTGTAATGCAGCAGGAAGTGTGCCAGATGCTTGGCAGATTTTTTTTCCTAAACTAAGCTTTAAATATGCTTCTAAAAGTAAAATAACACAAAAGATGAAGAATAAGGAAGCTCAATGGTGAAGATCACCAGTAAACTTGTCTTTACTTTTACTGATTTAAGTATATTTTTAATAAAAATCTAACTGCAACAATTATCGATACTTACCAGACGCAGTGCAACAGTTGGAGTTTTAAAATATTTCCAGCTGTTAAAAAGCTATGCTGTGTAACTTCTCCCGTTTCCAAACTCCAACTGATCTAACACTCTATACCAGTTTGCATGACAGCAAGTTCCCTTTCAATTCAAAGGAGTGACGAAGTTGTAAAATATAATTAAAAAAACCCTCCTCCACCCGCAAACATCAAAACTTACCATTTTCAAAGGTTGCACAGAACTGACTAATTTCTAACAAAAACAGATGGATTATTTTTTTACATATGTGCAAGCACCAAAGTTAAATGCTTCCATTTATTGGAGCCATATCTTAATAACCACTTTGGTTTTAAAAGTGCATTTGGAGAGTCTTGCAGAGAAAATGACTGTAGCCCAAAGACGAGCACCTCTGTGAAAGCAGCATGATCCAGGATACTGCAAATGGTAAAAGGACACGTGGTAAAAAGAAAGCAGAACATGTCGCAGAAGAAAACCAGACATTTTCCTATTGACTTGCTTCTCCAGCTGCACGCATCTGCAGCACAGCACTGCATACCCGTACACCACCTGCACCGGGTACCAATCCCGCAGACACACAGACCCTTCATTTCACTGTATTTTGACTTAAGCCAATGACTTGAAGCACACGTAGATGTTCTTTGTTGAGGCCTAAATGCTGTGGACACAATACAGATTTCATCAGAGGGAAGGGTGAGGAACCGAGGCCAATGGAAACAAGCATTCAGCCATTACATCTGAACAGAACCAGCCCCTGGCTCATCGAAGGCAAAATGCTCCTTGATTTAAGCCTGCCCCTGTCAGCGGAAAAGCCACGCTCTGAATTTGTTGCAGCTCAATGGGCTGGGCCAGGCAGCAAAGTCAGGCCAGCAGAGCTGGGCTGAGCAGGGAAGTTAGGGGGAGTAATTCTGAAAGAGGAAGGATTAAATGCACTTTCTGTACTGTTTCCTTTGTGCCTGTCAAACATTACTGCCTATGGCAACAGCAACAATGCATCATTTGTAGTTTGGTCTTCAGCGCTGTGTATTGATAGAGGAGCTGAGTTGTGGTTAAAATTACTGGAAATATTCACTTCAGAATATTATCTGGAAAATGTTGAAGTTGTTTATTGCTGCAACAGGAAAGATACAGTGACCCAACACTGGCAACATTTTTTTGTACATTTAGTCCCCTGTTCCCACTCATATGAATAGGGGGATGCAATCTTGGAGTATTGCTTGTCAAAATTCACTGTTTCTGTAGTTGTTTTCTCTCTGCCACGTTGCTTTAATGGGTAGACAGTGCACCAGGGGTGATCGGAGTTCCGCAAGGTGTTCTACCCTACCAAATACTTGCAAGAGAAGGGCCATGGTGTCTTCCCACTCTTAAATAAACCAACTCCTGATATGCTCAGAAGGTGAGGACTGGTGAGTGTACCAAATACACCAGCTGTAAGGGAAGCTAAAGACAGAAACAGGTTGAAAAATAGGAAAAAAACACATGGAGAAGGGCAAAACGTACGTACATGGGTTCTTTATGTTCAGCTAAGAACAATTATCTTGGTGAAGAAGAGTCCTTTCTTGTCCACCACTTACAGCCTCAGCTTGCTTGTTTGGTTGTCAGAAGTCCCTGGTAATTGATTATTTCATTCTAATAAGGTTTAGTCTGCCCTAAAGAAAAGCAGCCTTGCAGACATCATGGCTATTTCCAAGACTCTGCAGTTGCCAAAAGTTCCACGTTTGGACACACCAACACGTGCACAAACCCAGGCAGTATTTCAAAGTGGGTATTTATTGTTTGAACCAACACAAAAGTAGCAAGGCAGTTAAAAACACAGAAGCTCAACAGATCTGTCTTGTACTATTTGTTATTTCTGATTTTTTCAAATGTATTCTACTAAACTGACTAAGAAATCTTCTGTCCCCCTTGTAAAGGATTGAATTCTGTAGAACCAACTTTTCTTAAGCCTAGGCCCTAGTACACTTTTAAAGGCACAATAAATTGAAAAGGATCAACACAGAAGCCTGCTTACAGGAATTAGTAATGCATATTCCTTCTTTACTATCAGAACATACTTAACATATATGACGGCATCAGCATTCTACCTCTAATAATACAGTGAAGAAAGTCTTTTTCCCAGCTGTTATCAATAGTGTAATCTCTTATTTCCAGTCTCTTTTCCCAACAACCTTTGACTCTGACTCCCCTCTGTTGGGTCTGCCAGTTTGCATGACAGAACATTCACTTTCAGTCCCGTTCTCCAATTGGGTGACAAAGTAACCTGTCAAAATAATTAAGACTATATAGCACTTTGAAATATATTATCTTCAAATATCACACAGCATGTTTAATTGACAGATTTGATTACACATATTTTACATTATTTTATGTACGAGTACACACATTTTATGCTATATACCTGTGACTACTGAAGTAACACACTTTCATTTTTCCCTGGAAATAGGGGCAGAGGGTGGAGGAGATGGGAAAGAACAGTTTTGCTAAGAAGGGCAGGTTTAAAAATGGGAGTCAGTTTAGAGTTGTCCTAGAACAGGCAGTTCTAGGAAGACGGAATCTGGTCCAGTATACAGCATGCAATTAAAAAAGGATATTGCAAATAATAGTAGATCATTCAACAATTGCTCCAGGTGTGTGAATCTACTATTGTTGTTACTTTAAGGAGAAGTGCAGATTTTAAACATACCCAGTTTCCAAAAATACAGGTAACTGAGGCATATACTTAGGTAACCCCATACACCATACAGTCTATTACATGTATTGACTGTGCCTTATTCTTGCAGACAGATACTGTTAACTTTATTCATTAGAAACCTACAGTCACAGAAGTCAGTGACAGAGTTAATCCTCTATACATGCTTTTGAAATATTAGCTCCTTAATCAGTACCAGCTAAGGGCAGTTTGTGTCTTTCATAGTTTGCCTGAAGAAGCCCTGCAAATATCTGGTCCTGCAGGGAGATCCCCTAAAGTTGAAATTATGACAAAGACTATTTGCTTGGAATATTCAGAATATATACAAAACCTAATCATTATTTTTAAGAGTTCAGCAAAACTGACATGGAATTTTTCAGTACTAAATATACTACTGAATAGGAAACAGCCACTGTTTTAAACTAACAGAAAATACTAACTTTAAAATAAATCTTGCTTCGTTCCAAAAGAATTTGCCATTTCAATGCAGTCTTCTTGTCATCTGCTAGAGTGAGGAATTCGTGGACCTGTTAATAACAGGACATCACAGAACACTTCCTTAGCATATAGTTATAACAACATCTCCACAACAAAAGGATGATGAAAAGAGCATCTTACACATTTTTATACATTTCTAAGCTGTATTTTTCCATTTTAACATACTGTTTGGTCTGATACATGTACCAAGATGGTCAGATTAATCAGAATAAATTGCAGGCTGTTTGAGAATCAAAGTTAGGGAATTCCAACCATATTCTCAGAAACGTGTGAATTAATTAAAATAAAACAGTATTCTTACATTTAACACATTTCTTCTAATTAGCAGCTACTGACTTCTAACTTTTGACTTGTTAAAAGCTGTGTGTGAGAGTGTGTATAGCCATATGTACACACATTTTTTTTAATGCATGTAACACACACTCATATACATGAAGAATATTTACATATATTTGTAATTTGCATCAGGCTTCACAGCTCAGATACAGTAAGAACAACATAATTAATTTCTACTTACTGTGCAGCCTAATGTTTCCTCAGCTACACAGTCAGACAGGTAACAAGAATAAAGAGTGCCTGTGTGATCTGTCAGATCAACAAGTATGTCAAAGCTTGCAAAAGTTGACTTTGAATCTGGAGACACGTCACTGCAGAAAGTGCATGTGTTTGACATTTCATTCACTATGAAACGGCATATTGAACTGAAACATAAGAAGATAATTAATGCATATATGCAGTTCCTCCTTGTTTGAAATTGTTTTCCAGACCGAGATTTCCCAAGAGACTTTTAATCTTTAAAAAAATTCTTCATTTTCTAAACTCTTAAAGTCTGTCTGAGACAAAATGGTCTCTTTTTATTTCTCTCCTCCAGGACCAGAAAGAACAAGTCCTTCATAAAGCCAGCTTCTCTGCTTTGCTGCTTCTGGAGGTCTACACAACAGAAATCCACATGGCATCCTCTAGAGGAGTTTTATTTCTTGCCCAGAATTGGACTAAAATATTGTTCTATCTAATCTGGGTCAGGGGAAGAACAACAAGCACATTTTAACACAAATTTAAAACAGGCAGTTGCTTACCATCTGTTGCGAATAACTTTAGATATATTATCATCAATGTCCAGTGTAGAAATGTAGCCATAGATAATGCCATAGAGTGGTTCAAGTTTCCCATCAATCTGTAAAGCTTTTTCCTTCAGCTGTTCCACAGTATAAACATCAACTATAGTCTCCACTAAAAATATAAACCATGTTAAGTGCATCTGAGAAAGAAAAATGCAGAAGAGCAACAACAAATTAAGGATCTTAAGGTAGTAAAAAGGAGAGGATTTGATCTAAAGCATCAGAAAGCTTTAGAGTCCCACACAGCTTCCTTTTCATGCAGGCTTATCATTTGAGAACTAAAAGTAAAACAAAAGGGGACTCAAACAAGGAAAATATCTAATATTTAATCTTTGTATGCCCCCAAATGAGTTTTTGACAAAACTTTCCCTCTCTGTTTTTTGTACTTATTTCAGACAGAAGGAACATGC